GCCTGGGATGGACCGTGGGGCTCCGGGGGGCTGGGGGTGCCGTGGGGCTGGGAGGCGACGGGGGATGCTGTGGGCCTGGACGGGCTGGGAGGCAATGGGGGGGATGCTGTAGGCCTGGAGAGGCTGGGGGGGCTGTGGGGGTGAAGGCTTTTTGCTGTTGGTACGGACAGCCGTTGCGTGATGGGTGCCCGAGAGCGTCTCGGTGCCGTGAGGCTGGGTGCTACTGAACTGGGGGAGCTGGGCGCCACTGGAGGGTGCCACAGGGCTGGGGCTGGGTGGCTGGACCCGGCAGGAGCAGGGCCCTGGCTATGCCTGGGGTAGGACCAAATCTAAGGTTCCTCCCTGCCATGATGTTGCTTGTGGTCTTGGCTGGGCTGGTGGTTGCTGTCCCAATCCCGTGGGCTCAGTGCCCCACTGGGATGTGGGGAGGGCTGTGGGCAGGGTGAGGGCTGAAGCCCCAGTGCCTGACTGGGCCAGGGAGGGTTCGTGGCTCTGCTCCCTGTGGCTGTGCCACTGTCTGCAGGCAGGTGCCTGGGAACAAAGGGCTGTCCTGCCCTGGGGCAGGCTGGCTGCCTCCCCTGTGGGCTCCCTGCTCAGCAGCTGCTGGCTGTTGTAGGCAAGGAAACCTCTCTGAGGGGCAGAGAGGTGCTCTGTGTTTGGAGGGGAGGGCTGACCCCAAGACCTGCTGCTGTCTGCAGCATTTTGTTTCTTGCCACACTGACAACACGGGGACGAGTGCCACTCAAAGGCTGCACAGCAGGAAGCTGTTGCTCCACTTTGCACCTGATGTGTTGCAGAGGAAAGCTCTTGGCAGAGTCAAGGGGAAACATGGGGAAGGGGGTGGCATTGGCATTTGCATATCCCACCTCTCCTTTACCAAGGTACAGGAAACCTGGGCAGAAGCCATGCCTGTGGGCTGGTGGGTCTGGTGTCCTTGTGTCCAGCTGCTCCCAGCCTTGGGGTCAGCCCCATGCTCGTCCAGCAGGGCAGAGGGGAGCCCCTGCCTCCTTTGGACAGCCCATCTGGATGCTGCAGCTCCCGCCCTTACCCTCCCTGCTGCTCCCTGAGGGCTGTGCAGTGGGCATGGCAGCACAGGGAGCTGGTCCCTGCTGGGGGGACTCTGTGGTGTGGCACCACTGCCTGGCACCACGCCAAGGCAAGCACTTGGCCCAGGCTCAGAACATGCCTTGGCAGGGCCCTGGGGCAGCCTTGCTGCTTAATATTGATGGATATTGCCTGCACGGAGGCCTGGGGGCCCCAGCCCTGCAGATCATTTTCCCAGCTGCTGGGCCAGCTCTGGTTCCTCCTCGCTCCTAGCACGGCTCTCAGGTGGGACGAGGGGCTCAGCGGGCAGGGGAGCACTTCGCAGCTTTGCCTTGGCCTGGGGCTGCCCCCAGTCTGCTCGTTCGCTGGTGCATGGTGTTGTCCGAGGTGGATCCAGGCCAGGGAAAGGGCAAAAGTGTTGGGACTCTTGGAGTGGGTCTGTGAGGTTGGGAAAGATGCAGGGTGGCCTTTGCGGCTTGGTCCAGAGGTTGAGGTGAACGGAAGCAGCATCCAGGCCCTGCTTTTTGGCGGTGAGGAGAGGGACTAGGGGAGGAGGGGTAATCCTGGCCTGGCTCCTCCACATATGTCTTGTGCAGGTTCCCCTGTTCCCAAACCTGTTGGGAAGGGCTGGGTCTGGGATTGTCCCTGGAACTGGCCCAGCATCCTGGATGCTCCTGCCTTCTCTAGTTTCCTCTGAGTCAGACTATCCATGTCGCTCCCCCAGCCCCCTCCCCGCTGGGAAAGACGAGATGGGACCAGAGAACATCTGAGCCCAGATGCTGAGGGGCCTGTGCCCCCAACTCCATGCAGAGAGCAGTCCCAGTGACAGTGGCCCCACAGCCTCCAGGAGTCTGTGCTTAGCTCCCCCTGCTCTGCACCCTTGTGCAGGGTAAAGGAGGAGCCCCTGACGTGCTGCGCAGGCAGGTGACCAGCAGAGTTGGTGCAGGGAGCTGCGCGACCAGCATCAGCACGTCCAGGAGGGGAGACCCTTCCTGAAGGACAGCCAGGCAGCGGGGTGGCCTGCCCACACTGAGCTCCTCTCCCCCCAGGTGTGGCATGGCAGGGATGAGGAGCCGGCAGCGGATGTTTGCAGCGGTGATGCGCCTGCTCCTCAAGTGTCTGCGGCTGGGCCGGCGGCGGCGGCGGTTTAAGCTGGTGCGGCAGGCGGAGCAGCTGTGGCACTATGGGCACCTCTGCCTCCGCTCCCTGCTCTACAACTCCTTCACCAACGGCGATGTGGTGCTTGACTCCCTCTTCGAGCCCATCTACTGGCTGGTGGACCATGTCACCCGGTGGTTCGGTGTGGTGAGTACCCTCAGCGGGCAGGGGGGCACCTGTTTCTGGGGGCTGGGGCAAGTGTGCTGCTGTGGCAAGTGAGCCTCAGGGCTGCCTGTGCTCTAGACAGGAAGGGAGTGGGGACCTGAGTGTGGTTCAGATTGGGTTCCTGTGGCTGTATCCTGCCTGTACTTCTCCACAGGCAATGAGGGGCAGGTGCTGCCCACTCTGGTGACCCAGGCCCCTTTCCCATAGGTGTTTGTGGCACTGGTGATTGGGCTGACGAGCTCCATTGTGGCCATCGTGTACATCTGCTTGCTGCCCCTCATCCTGCAGACCTACACACCTGCCTGGATCTGCTGGCACCTCGCCTATGGACACTGGAACCTCATCATGATCGTCTTCCACTACTACATGGCCATCACCACCTCACCCGGGCACCCACCACAGGTGAGGCATGAACTGGCAGCACAGCCTCTCTCAGCTGGGCACTGGAGACCAGCTACAGGTGATCAGTGGGAACAGCTAAACCAGCCTGGTGGCATTGTTGCAGGAGGCCTCCTCCAGATCAGGGCAGCTAGGCTGGGCAGTGCAGGGTGGGGAGGCTGGGGTGGTCACAGGGGAGGTAAGGAATGTGGGGAGCAGGGAACAGGTGCAGGGCTTGGGTGCACAAATCTCTTCTGACCTGTGCGCAGACCAAGGACGATCTCACCGGCGTCTCCATCTGCAGGAAATGCATTGCCCCCAAGCCAGCTCGCACCCACCACTGCAGCATCTGCAACAGGTAGGGCTCCCTCCCTCTGCTCACCACAGCACTTGGGTCAGCCTTCGGGACCCTTCTCCTTGCCCCTTGCCACACTATGAGACCAGGGCCGCCTCCCCTCTGCTCTGCCAGCTTCTCGCCTCATCTCTCATACAGCCCGCAGGGCTGGGGGGGGGCTGCCTGCCCCCTCACAAACGCAGTGCTTGTGCTGGCACTGACACTGGCGCTGCTCTCCTCCCTCCCAGGTGCGTGCTGAAGATGGACCACCACTGCCGTATCCTTCTGCAGTACTAACCCGTGGCACTCTCCCAGGGGCAGCCAGCCCTGTTTCCGCCTTCTCTCCCTGCCCTTCTCCTCTCCCGAGTCAGCCAGCATGGGGAAGGGTGCTGGGGGCCAGGCCCAGAACCACCCTGGTCCCTGGGGTGGGTTTGGACCCGTGGTCTGTCACGGTTACATACCCTTAACCCCAGAGGCAGCCTGGCTAAACAACTGTGTAGGACACTACAACCACCGCTACTTCTTCTCCTTCTGCCTGTTCATGACCATGGGCTGCATCTACTGCAGCATCAGTGGCTGGGAGATGTTCCGGGATGCCTACGCAGCCATCGAGGTGAGAAGGCAGGCCCCGGCCCTCACCCTGCTGTGCACTGAGACTGCCTGGGCTCCCTAGGCTGAGCTTGTAGAACAAGGCTGGGCCAGGCCTGGCCTTGTAGTGACTTTGCTTCCCCTCTCCCTCCTCCTGCGAGGCCCCCAGCTGCCCTGGTCCTGTGGGGGGGTGAGGGCAAAGGGACCCCTCCTCTGAGACATGTAACTGGTGCCCTGTTTTCCATCCCCCTAGAGAATGAAACTGCTTGAGAAGGAGAGACTGCAGGTGGCTGCCAACCAGGTGGGACATCCCTGCCCCCCAGCTGCTCCAGGCAGTGTGGAGCAGAGCTGCCCTGCAGGCTGGGTCCCTGCTCTCAGGGAGCACCCCACAGCCAGAACCAGCCCTGGTGCTCATCTCATGTCAGAGAGCTGGGGCTGGCCGGACAGCTCTGCTCCATGCACTGCCTCCAGCAGCTTGGGGTCTGCTTCCCTGTGTACTCAGCTTCCAGGGGCTTTGGCTGGTGGCAGCTGCTTGGCATGTGCTGCTCAGGCCCTATTCTCCTGGGGATGCTGCAGCAGTGTGTACACATCTTGCCCCGAGCACCAGCTGCAGTGTCCTGACCAGTCCCATGGCTGCTGCCTGCCCCCTTACCTCCAGCCCACTGCTTCCCACCCATGTGCCAGCTCTTGGGTGTCTGTCTGTCTCGTGGCTGTCTCAGGCTGCCTCCCCATCACCCTGGCTGTTGTGTTGGCCCCAGCCACAGTCCTTTCTAGCTGTCTGAGCTCTGCATCAGTGAGGGGTGCAGCATTCCCCCTGTCTGGCTTCAAGCTATAAAGCAATTTGGGTAATCACCCCCACTGTCATCCTTTTTCAGACGTACTACCAGACCCCGCCACCCACCTTCTCCTTCCACCAGCGAGCTTTCCACAAGAGCGTGGTCTACCTCTGGGTCCTTTGCAGGTAAGGGGGCCCAGGGGCTGGGAGCAAGGGTGCTGGGGGAAGCAGCATGCAGCCCCCTGCCCTGTGATATTGCTCACCCTCTGCCTGCCCAGGGGCTGAGCTGGCTTGCTTTAGCACAGATGTCCCTGCCCTGCCAGCTCTTGAGCCACAGAGAGATTTTGGCTCTCTGTCATGGGAGATTAGATGAGCTGACCCACCTGTGCAGCTGTGGGTACAGGAAGGCAGCCTCAGCCCCCCACAGTTGTGACACTAGGGAAGGAAGGCCTGTGTGCAACCTGCTGTCCCTTGCCGTCCCCAGCTCAGTTGCTTTGGCCTTGGGTGCTCTCACAGTGTGGCACGCTGCCCTCATCACCCGTGGGGAAACCAGCATCGAGCGGCACATCAACAAGAAGGAGAGGCAGAGACTGCAGAAGAAAGGCAAGGTGAGCACAGCCTGCAGAGCGGTAGGGCCGGCTGGGGCAGAGCAAGATGTGATGTGCATGTCCCTGGCCTGCAGGTCTTCAGGAACCCTTACAGTTATGGGAGCTGGGATAATTGGAAGGTGTTCCTGGGTGTGGACATGCCAAGGTAAAGCCCCAGGGAAGGCCCTGCTGGGAAGGTGGTGGCTCAGCAGCACATGGGGGTGCTGGGACAGGGGCTCTCCTTGGGCAGCTGGGGCAGAGCAGGACAGCAAGCATTCCCTGCTGTCTGCTGCTCTGGGCTTTGCAAGGCACAGAGGACCTGGGCATCAAGCTGCCTTGTGGCTCCTCAGCCCTGCCCAGTGGCAAGCTCTGGCCTACCCAGCACCCCTTTGCCAAGAGAGTCCCAGCAGAGGAGCACAGCCATCATGGCAGCTCGGGGTCATGGGCTCACAGCCCTGGCTCAGTTCTGCAGAGCTGAGAAACACCAAGCTTTCAGATTGTTGCTGTGGCCTCACTCCTCTCCCCACAGGCACTGGCTCACCCGCGTCCTGCTGCCCTCTCCTCACCTGCCCCATGGGACGGGCCTGAGCTGGGACCTGCCTCCTTGTGTGACCAAGCAGCGTGCACCGCTCCTGGCCATCTGAGGCCTGGGTGCTGCAGATGTCCCCCCCCGCAGGCAGGGGAGTGCACGGGGGACCCTCTCTGCCACTGCAGCTCCCTTTGGACCAAGTGCCTGGTGGAAGGCGGGTGCTGGCACACATCGCTGACCAGAGCCAGAGCCACAGGAAACTTCATTGGACAGTGTCAGTGCCTGGATGCCTGCTCTCTTGGCTCCTTGGTGGCTGCAGGCAGCCCCGGGAGAAAGGCGGCAGAGCTGCTGCTCCCTGCTCTAGCTGCAGGTGCTGCCCTCGCTAGCACAGGTATGGGCCAGCACGGGGCCCAGCTCGGCTCTCCGGCAGGGCTGGGTGCGGATGGCACCACTGCCCCCCAAGCACTCCCCAGGGAGCCTTTTTAAGACCATCCAATAAATTTTTTTTTTGTTCGTTTTTAAGGGAGCCTGGCTCTTTTACCCTGGTGGGAGGTGCAGACTTCTGGGGACAGGGGAGGAGAGGGACTCCCATGATTCCCCAGCATGGAAAGAGGAGTAAGGGCCTGTAACCAGCAGCACCTTTAGCTACTTGACATGGAAAGGCACTGGGATCCCAGCCCAAGCTGCATGAAGACCCCCCCCGCAGCATTACCAAAACAGATATATTTATTCCTCTGGCCCATGGGTTGCCACACACTGTACGTGCGTGCACAGGCCTGCCCTCTCCACTCACACATGGCGAGTCTGTCCATCACTGTCCCTGGCTGCAGCAGCAGCTGGGCAAGCCACAAGTGGCACAGTTCCTTCCCCCGCTGTGGGTGCCAGGAAGGTGCTGCTGTGAGGGGTGCTGTCTGCCAGCCCCGACACTCCAGCCCCAGCACTTGGGCAGTACTAGGCTCCAAGGGTCCATGGCATCAGTTGGATGGGTTAGCGGGGGCCCGGTCAGATTGTCGGTCAGCACAGGGAGGGGATGCAGGGGACTCACCTGCCCGGGCTCCCCAGTAGGAACCTGTGGGAACAGAGATGGTGCCATCAGCCACATCCCCAACACGCCAGCACCCCGGCAGTTCCAGCCCCACGCACTCACCATTCCCCCCGTGCTGCCACTGCCTCCTTCCGCACCAGCCTCTTCTTGTCATCCAAAGGCTTGGCCAGCGCCCGGATAACTCGGGCCTTGTACGGGAGCAGCTGTAGGACAGAAAGGGCTCCTAATGAGAAAGCTGGGTGCTGGCTGCCCCACAGGAGGAGGTCTAGGACCCCCCTGCCCCTCTACATGCAGGAGCAGGCAGCAGGAGCACTTACCACTGTTGTGGGCAGGCTGGTAAGTGCGTGGGCACAGCGCAGGGCGGCGATGCGGACAGCCTAGAACAGACAGGGGTGAGGGCAGCACAAGGGGCAGAGGAAAGGGGCAGGCGGGGGGCGAAGGAGGGGGCACACGCACCATGGTGGGGCTGGAGGTGAGGCTGAGGAACTTAGTGACCAGTGTGTCGACGTGCAGACTCATGATCTGGGGAGCTTCGAGCAGCAGTGGCTGGAGGCAGCTCAGTGTGGAGAGCTGCACCACACGGTCCGAGCAGGACAAGGCCTCAAGCAGGAGAGAAAGCAGCTGCGGGTGGGGAGAACATAGGAGACATGAGTAACTCCCAGCTGTGCACTCTGCACTGCCACAGTCCCCGCCACCAAGGCTGGCTCTCACCGTGGGCAGCTCCGTCACCAGCACAGGCTTGGGGAGATGGTTGAGCACATGGGACAGGCCCTTCAGGTAATTGGCCTTCACGTCTGTGGAGAGCAGAGACAGTTACAGGCAGCCAGGGGAAGGGGGGGACACCAGGTCAGGTCCCCTGGGTAAGGGCTCACGGGGTGGCGAGACTGGGCTGTGGGTGGCCACTCACCGGGGCCAGCCCCGTGGAAGCCCTGCACCAGCTTGGGGACGTTGTCAGTGAAGAAGCGCTGACGGAACATGATGCGCACGTCAGCATGGCAGCCCTTGTGCAGCACATCCGGGGACTCGGCCATGAGCAGAGAGAATCCATCAGCCGCGGCGGGGCCCAGCTCTGTGTCACCCAGCAGGCCCAGCAGCTGCGAGGGAGAGAGCCCTGAGACAGGGTGCCCTCCTGCTGGGGGTTCCCAGCTGGCCGTGGGGGGAGCGGGCAGACTCCTTGGACATCAGATCCCCCCACTGCCACCTACCTTGTCTGTCAGGCAGGAGCTCAGGGGGTGGTACCGCAGCACCAGGGCTTTGGTTACCTGTGCAGGCAGAGCAGAGTCAGCGCCAGGCTGCCACCCCCCCCAGCTTTCCCCCCTCCCGCACCTACAGTGGTCCTTACCCAGAGCAGCAGGGTGAGCGCCTGCATTCGGCAGGGCCCCTCTGCAAGCCCAAGCTCCATCCTGTTCACTGCAAGCTGGAGGATCTCATCCAGCTGCTGCCCTGGGGACACAGAAGGGACAGGCTGAGCCATTCCCCTGCCAGCAGTGGGCAGGGACCCACAACGTCCTGCCCAGCCCCCTTACCCGCCAGGTGCTTGTTCACCAGCCCTGCAAAGCACTTGGCAGCTGTGGTGGCCGTGAAGGGGCAGTTGCAGGAGCAACTCAGCGCCAGCAGCTCATGGAGCAGCCGTTCCTGCTGAGGAATTGCCACCTGGAGGAGACATAGAGCACGTTACAGCCTGGGGCCACCTGGTCAGGGTCCCTCCACCCTGCTCCCCACCAACTTACATTGCGGGGCAGGGAGCAGACAAAGGCCATGAGGAGGGCGACCAGGCGTCTTTGTGCCTCCAAGCACTCCCCATCCTGCGGGGGAAGAACAGCACCCATGTCATCACGGTCCTTGCTGCCAGCCTGTGCCGACATCCTCATTCCCTGCCCCTGTTCCGGCACCCCAGCCCCAAGCACCCAACACACCTCGAAGGGCTGGAAGGAGCAAGGAAAACTGTTCTGGGGCAGGAAGGAGACCTCTCCATCCAGGAAGAGGGGTACCACGTGAGACACACTCTGGGTAGCCAGCCTAGGAGAAAGGAGACATTGCAACGTGCTGCTCTGGGAGGGTCACCAGAGAGCTCCTGGGTACCTCCCAGGAGGCACAGGGTCCCCCTGAACAGACAGCAGCAGGGGGCACGTAGCCTGCCCCCTCCCCACAATGGAATGCCCGGTGTCCCATCCCAGCATCACTCACTCAGGGCTCAGGTGAGTCGTGGCAGCGCTGATGACTGGGACCATGGCAGCCAGCACCTCTTCCTCCAGCAGTGCCTTGGCCAGCAGCAGGTGGGTGCTCTCTGCAGGCAGGGGGAGGAAAGGGACATGCTGGAGCCCGCTGCCCGGAGGGAGGAGGCAGGCACAGCCCCCTGACCCACACCGGCCCTGGGGCAGGGCTGCTCTGCCTCTGGCAGGAGGCAGCGGGGCCCGCAGTGCCCGCGGTTGCCAGAGGGCGGCGGCAGGGTCGGGGACGCCAGAGAGCCCGAGGAGCTGCCTGCTTTCCCCTTCTCCTACTCCAGCCCCGCACCTACCTTGCATGGCAGCCTGCACGGCCATGGCCAGCAGGCAGGGCACCACCGTCTGGTGGTAGTACCAGCAGCTCTCCGCGTCCTGCTGGCACTGCAGAGCCACGCGGTGCAGGCTCTGGCACACGGAGACCATGTCTTGGGTGTTCCCGGCCTCGCTCCCTGCAGGGCACAGTCACCGTCACATCAAACAGTCTGAGCACCCACTGCCCTGATCTACACCGGGATTCTGGGGCAACGCAGCCCTCCCTGCTCCCTCTCCACCAGTGGGATTCACAGCCCAGCCCCAGGCTCCTTGCACCTCTGCCATCCCCACTCTCCCAGACATCAGTGGTAACAGAGGCAGCTCCTGCCCAGACACGTTCCGTGGAGCTGCCTGCTGCAGGCTGCGTTACCTTTCTGCACCTTCCGGAGATGCTGCAGCAGGACAGGGACAGTCTCCCTCACGATGCTGGTGTGGGTGGACACGGCTGCCAGGGCCTGCAGGCAGCGCTGCCGCAGGGAGCGGTGGTCACAGGGGCTCTCTTCCTGCCGCTCTGAAGAGGAAAAACACCTCAGAGGGGTGTTGGGGTGACCCCAGGCCCCCTTGCCCAAGGGCATTCAGGGCCCAGACCCTGCCAGGGTGGATGGAATGAAGCAGCACAGCAGAACTAGCCCATGCCAGCCCCAAGGCAGTCTGCCAGCTCTGTGCCTGGGCAGCTCCTCCCCACAGGGCTGATCCCGGCCACACAGGCTGGTTGCCAGCACCAGGTATGGTCTTCCCTATGCCAGCACCACAGTGCCTGCACTGGGAATCCCCCAAGCAGGAGAGCCACTGACCTACGCCATATGGCACAGCCCCACTGCCCGGTAGGAGCCAAACGGGACAGGCTTCACCACAAAACCAGACATCACTTCCTTCCCAAGGCTGCCAGCCCTACCTGACTGCAGCTCCTCTTCAAGCCTGGGTACCATGTGTCCAGAGAAAACTTTTGGGTAGAGGGGGGCCAGAGATCCAGCTGCCTCCATCGCTGCTTCGCTGCCGAGGGGGGGAAGAGAGTGGGAGGGCTGATGTGAGCACTGCAAACCTGGGGCTGCTTGTACACCAGCTGTACAGATCTGGGCCAGAAGGTGCCTCCAGAAACCTATTTCTCAGCAACCTGCCTTTTCCACCCTACTGGCAGGCAGAGCAGAGTCCCCTACTTTGACAGGCCCAGACTTTCTAATTTCCAGCCTATAAATCACCTGGTTTATCCCTTTACTCTTACACCCACATAGACTTTTAGTTCAGACAGTTCCCATACCTTCCCCCAGACTACAACCCCTCTCTGCAGCAAAGCCAGGCTTTGTTCCTCTCCCCAGAGTCTGGGTGACTGCAGTGGCACTAGCCCGCCCCTCACCTGCTCTGGGAATCCTCCTCATGCAGAGCGAGACGGATGAGGTGATCCACAACCAGCTCCAGGTCAGAGGGAGACAGGAAGCCTGGAACAAGAGCTGTAGAGGAATCCTGCCCATGGCCAAAGGCAAAGATGCCCGTGTTCTGGCCAGCATCCTTCCCCCTTGTCCAGGCCAGCAGCACCGCAGCAGCATGCCAAACACCAGAGATACATGGTGCCCAGCATAACAAGGCAAGAGAGAGACCAAGTGTCCCTGGAGCTC